AACCTATGTCAAAGGCCCAGCATGGCATGGGACGAAAAGGGTATGCACTGACTGAGAGTGGTTTAACAATTCTAGCTCCACAGTATGAATCTGAACCTTTTTAGAAAAGGATTTTCAGAACAATCTCACGATCTTGGGCTTCCAAATTAGTTCCAACATAACTTCACGTAATTTTTTATAATAGAAGCAAATCAAAGGCCAGTTTTAGGACTTGGATGAAAAATGCAAAAGAAGAGGATTGGTGGCATAAAACATAGAGTGAGGGACTTCCCTGATGGTGCAGTGGCCAATGCAGGGGACACGGGTTTGAGCCCTGGTATGGGAAGATCCCACATGCCACAGAGCAACTATGCCCATGTGCCACAACTACTGAGCCCATGTGCCATAACTACTGAAACCCACATGCCTAGAGCCCATGCTCCACCACAAGCCACTGCAATTAGAAGCCCACACAATGCAACGAAGTGTAGCCCCTGCTCACCGCAACTAAAGCCCGCATGCAGCAACGAAGACCCAATGCAGCCAAGAACAAATAAATAAATTTATTTTTTTAAAAAAAGGCCAGTTTACTTCATTAGAAGCATAATGCCTTTAGTCTCTAGAAATGGGTCTATCCCTTCTGCATTTACTCTTTTTGCCCTGAACTTGAGATTCTCTCCTCTTCACTTGTATCAGTCCATGATCACTCCCAGCTTTCATAGTTATATCTGAGCTAACTGCAGAAAATTCCTTAAGTAGGATCTATTTGGATATATCTTTTTTTTTTTTTTACCTCACTGGGATGATTTTTTAATTGCAGTCATTTTATTTTAGAGTCTCCTAGCACTCTTGAGTACACAGAACTTTTACAAATGCAAGCCAGAGGAGACCCACCTCACTATGTATTCGAAGTCTGAGCTTTTGTGACATAGTCTAAAAAACACTGAAAAATTCCTAACATACCTCTCAACTGTCACCCCTTCAACAGATTGCTGTAAGGATTAAATGAGATAAACCTGCTAAAAGTCTCCCCTAAAACAGGTAGGTTCCTCTAAGGAAGTGATATTCAAAATGCTGGTCAGCCACAAGACAAAGAGTTCGGCCAGAATCTGAATCAATAATCTACTTCCTTCAGTTAGCAAATCTGCTACAAAAAAATGTCAGCTGAGCTAAACAGTATACTCACATTTCACTATAATGTAAGTATACTTATATTATAGTGTAAACTCCTTATCTTTTCACAGAACAGGAGCAAAAAGTTCACAGAACAGCAGCCTGTCCAAGCTTTTGGACCATCCAGGATTGTTCAACAATTTGCTATGAACTCGGAACCCCAAGTAAAATCCAGAAACTTTCCTAGCCCCTCTTGCAGCCAGAAGAGAGCTATGTGACCTAGGATCTGCCAATGAGAGTCATGCATTTAAGCTTTTGATTAGGAAGAGACACGAAAGGAAGGAGGTGCTAGGTAAAATCCTTTATTCTGGTCAAGGCAGATGCATCTAGCTTTGGAGAGGAGGTAAGGCTCACTGACATCTAGTGGTCAGCAACAACAATGCAGGCTACAGTGTCCAAGCCTACCTCAACAGCACTGGGGTATTTGCTAAAGAAGGCTCAAAGCATGATCTGGACACTGTTTCTGGCTGTGCAGCTTCAAAGCCAGACTCTGGCTCTCCCAAATATTATTCGAGTTCTTCTACTCATTTATAAAGTTTAAAATAGCTTTCAAACTTAGCCATTAGACACCTTCACAAACTTAACACTTTTGCAACAGATTTTAAGTTTACTTAAATATAACCATCAAAAAAGAAAGTCCAAATTTTGATTACCCATACCTTTATATAAAATGAGTGTTAACCCATATTATTTAGCCACATTCGTTAAGTTTTCATTAACTCTACTCAAAATAGGTCGAAACAATTCTAGCAATGATATTTTGAATGGACCTAAAATTAGGCATCTGTAATTTGAACCTCTAAAAATAACTAATATTTCTCCTATAATAATGAAAAATGTGTTTGATGTGGGGAGGGGTGTCTTATGGATAAGCCGAGTACTCAAATTCAAGGTTAGAAAATTAGTAAGTCTAGTCTTTCCTCTTCCCTTTTCTCAATCTCACAACCAGGAATGTACAAAAAAGGTCAAGAGCTTGGTTAGCATGGTAAGAAGGAGACAACTTATTTTTCGTCTGGGATAGGTTTTAGCCACTGCATCCAGAGGCACAGTCTGTTCCTTGGGGGTGGGCCTGCTATTACAAGATGTTTAGTTCATTTAGGAACTTCCCTTTCTTCTAAGAGTTAAGAAAACATTTTCGCTACTAAATGATAAGCAAAGGTAACCTTCCACAGAATCTGCAAAAATCTAAAGTTTCACATTTAAATAGAAACAAGTGTGTTGAGACATACTTTCATCAGTCCTTCCTTTCTTTCAATATATTTTATTCTGATGAAGTTACAAAAGTAGATACAAAATATATTTTTTTAAAAGTACAGTTAACTGACTTAGAAAAATAGATAAAGCCCCTAAAGGTTTAAAAATACAAAATAAATTTTCATGTAAAGAACATTTAAAAATATTTTAGATGATAACCAAGACTTACTTAAACTATTTTAAATGTAGACCAAACATAGAATGTTGTTCTATAATAAATCTATAGCACACTGGTAATCCATTTGGATTTACAGAATACTTGTTTGGAAAAGAACCTGATAATGAGAGAAAACCCAAGTGAATTTCAATGCAGTTGCTTCAGTAAAATTACTGCTATCACAGGTAATATCAATAGCATCCCCCAAAGCCCTTTACAGTCTGAAATATCAAAATCTAATGCAAAAACAAAGGAACACTGAGGAACTACTTATTTTACCTCTTGGCCAGAATTGTACAATAGTAAAAAACCAAATCCAGTTACTGAACTGATATTAGGAGGAAATAATGTCCCTGTTGAAGCTGCTTAGTTTGGTGTACCAGCTGGTATTTTCAGGCCAGAATTCTAGACAGGAGAGACAGCCTCGTACAACCAGGCAAGGGTAACAACAGCACCATGACTGGAGTTGCTTAGAAACAAATTTCTAGGATTTACACTCTTCAGTAATGATTTATTTATGCTTATACGGTGATGATGTTATGTTTAGAAGCTTCTCCACTTCTAATGTGACCTCACTGCTCAGAGAGAAGGCCAAGAGTATAATCAAGAAACCTCAATATTTGAAAAATTAAAATCACCACCAGAATTGTTCCTCTTGCATTACTAGAAAAACCTTCCTCTTGCTGTTGTCAATGTTATGATGAATACAGATGTGCATTTCTCAAGCAGCTACATGAGCTAGGGATCTACAAGTCTAAGATGAAAGGAAATACTTTGTTAGCTGGCAGCACACTAAAAATCACTTTATTCACAGTTTGGAGAATAAAGGATACATTTGGCTGTCAATACAAAAACTGTAGTACAAGGAAGTTGCACTATTTAAACAAAAACCTGCACTAAAATCATGGGTTGGACAGTACTTGCTAAATTATGCAGTTAATCCTATGGTGCTTTAATTTCCAGGCCTTTAAAAAAAACTTTCCAGGCCATAAGTTTTTTTTAAAAGGCCTGGAAATTAAAGCACCATAGGATTAACTGCATAATTTAGCAAGTACTGTTCAACCCATGATTTTAGTCAGGTGTGAAGGGCAGTGATCAGACACTGAGAGATGACTTCTGATTAGGAGGAGCCAGGGGAGTGAGTGTTACTCAGGGAGATAAATCAAGATTGAGAGGAGTCAAAGAGAGACTGATTTCTTCCAACTTTAATCAAAGGCTGGCCCTCCAGCCAAGTCAGAAAGGTGTCATCCTCTCCCTATTCTCTCCCCTTCCTCCAACTCTCCTGTTCTCAACTCCCTGGCCTTGTATGTAAACAAATAATGTTAACACCAATGTTTAGATGCATTGTTGGTTAAGCCAGATTAGCTTGGGAACCTAGTAATGCTTTTACTTTTTTTTAAAAAAAGGACATTCTGAATTACCTGAATTCCCAAATTACCAACAAATTTTAAAATTTATGTCCCATTATTAAGCTGCCTCTACTACTGTCCTAAATGTGGCCATCTTTAGTTAGTTTTAGGGCTGAGTCATGAAGAGAGGGAGGATTTCTACCACTGAAAATAAATGGAGAAAAGTGAGAACCCTTTTGTTTGATGATATGTGAAATATTAGAAATGATGAAAGTACAATCCTAGGTGAGAAATATTTCATTCCTTGCATACTTAAAGCCAACAATGTTCAAAGTCAAGAGTCAGTAACGTTCTAGGTGGCATGTAAAAACCTCCTTTCTTGTTTGGAAATGATAAACATACAGAATGCGTGACAGGGACTTTGGATATTCTTAAAACGTGGATTATGGAATTTTTATAGAGGGCTTTTCTCTTTTTTTTCATAAGGAATTTTTCTACTATTTCCCAAAACAACGATGTACGGTTTCAGCCTAAATCAGATAAAATGTTTTGTTTCCTTTAAAATTCTACATATATTTAAGAATTTATTGAAATTGGATTATTACAAAAATGGAGTTTCTAAGCAATTCTTTTCTTTACATTCTAGTGGAATAATAAAAATAAAACCCTATCAAATTTAACCTTAACCAAAGGTATCAAGATGGAAGATGGTGAGTACTTTGCAAAAAAAATCATAGCTCTGAAATGAAGAACACTGATGAAATTAAAGTGTTGCCACTCTGGCGAGTCTTTAGTAATATGTGTGCCTCGTTACATTTTAAACAGTCTAAGTCTTAGAAACCTAAAGAAAACTAGATCTTTTCTTCACTAAAGATTCTTTTTATCCCAAGAGAAACAGAATAATTTCAAGTTTTAATACAGAAACAAAACAGAATAAAATCCCAATCCATCCTTTGACTATTAACAGATGAAGTTTTCTTCTTCTTCTTTTTTTTAACTTATCCCATTTTGTCTCCTTTAAACATATTACCCCTCCTCGCCCAACACACACACACATTAAAGAACAGGCAGCACATCAAACTTTTAGCTGGGTTATAAAATGTGTACACCTTCAAGGTTTTTTATTGTGGTTTTCCTTACGCTTTATCCTTATTGGGATAAGGTTCGTGCATTTCTACACTACACTTAACTAAGTCTCAAGTCACAATAAAAATGTATAAAAGTAGCTTCTTTTAAAAGGAAAACTCAAAATAAAATAGTCAAGTACTCTGAGTACTTTCTTCCATTCTCCTATCCAAATTTTAAGGCCTCTGAAACAAACATGAATGAAAATAATGGTTTATGAGACCCAAATTTGTCATAATTTTTTGGAAGTTTTCCTTTTCTCAGCCAAAACCTACATATTAAAATTAATCTGAATGAAGCATTTCAAAATAAAAATCTGCAAGACGATCCTTAGATGCCTTAAAAAAATTATTTGATACACACACACTAAAAATTTAGATAGCTTTATGTGAATAAAATCCCAAATAAAGATTAAAAAATAAAGTCCTTTTAGAAATAACTTTGGTTACTCCCATACCACATGTCATATGATGATTTAAACTGCAATCATGGATTTTGAAAAAATATACATATATATAATCTTACCTATAAAAACACTAGCATACAAACTTCAAACTACAAGGTTATCCAAAGTGACACAAATGTTCTAAATCTTAAGGAAATTTCAGAACACCTCTTCTATTTGTAAAATAAAAGCAGAATAAAACTGATCTGTGATTGCATTATTAGGAAATTTGTTCTGGAAACCTGTTAATAAATTATTGGAAATTCTTAATATCCATCATGCTGTCACCTGAAACAGAGTCGATCATCTTCTTCAGTAAAAGAGTAAGTAAACTAATAAACTACAGGTTAGTCCTCACATTCTATAACCAAGTATGGCTCTATGGCAGTAACAACAGTGGTCACACAGTGCCTCAGATTCAGCTGTGTCCTGAATTTCTCACTCTGAAGGTATTAGGCCAACCTACCTTTGGGACAATTTTATCAGTAGACACAGACAATAGGTGTCTTTTTATCTTGTTTTCTTAAAGTTTGTATCACTAGTCTATAACAGAAAGCAACGAGATAGCTCTAGCAGTAGATGAAGCAAGAGGGTAACTGTTCTAGAAGAAAAATTTATCTGTCTTTCGATCCAAGCTTCTCAATTAATTCCTGAAGAGGTGCCAACTCACGCCTATCAATCAGATTAAACTCCTAAAATAAAGAAGAAAAATAAAATTTAAAAACAGATCTAAAATTAAAACTCTATAAATGTCATTGAGAAGGGCTTCCCAACCCTAGCTTTCTGAAATCCAAAAGAATGATGAAATAATCTCTATGAACATTTTTAAATGGGGTCATTTTTACTCCCTGTTTTAAAATACAGGGGACTTAATAAATAAGCAACCATACATATTAGCATGATCCTCTGTAAAATCAAAATCGTATAAAGTTTGCATTTACACAGAAATTATCTGAAAACTATACACTGAACCATTGATAGTGGCCTCACCTGGGGCAGCAGACCTTTTACTTTCGTATATCTATATCTACACTCTATCTATGCCATGCAATAATCTCAGAAGGAAAACAAAGGAGAGCACAGTACATTCTCCTTTGTGTGGTACATAGAATTGTGACATACAATATCTACTATAAAACTACCTGCTTTCCCTCCAAAATATCTAGAGAGACATAATTATATTTTACATACAGAATTATATATCTCGAAAGTCAGGCTCACGAGTCCCTATTCTTTGATATCTTTTTCAAACAATGTGAATTATTTTGACTAAAAAGTTCTAATTCCAACTAAGGGCCCATAAGGAAATAGGCCACATCTTTGAAGGGGGTGGTTCTTTTTGAAGTTTCTAGCTGCTGTCTTTGTAAGATTTGGCCTGAAGTGGACTTCTGGAAACTTAACTCAAGATAGTAGCTAATGAGTTCTTCCAAAAGTTTCTCTTTTAGGCATAGACATCTCATGAAACAACCCAACCATAGATGTTTTTCCATGGCATCCCTTTACCCAGCAGTGGCGATGGAACAGGAGGGTATGGACAAGCTTTCTTGAGTGTTTGGTGCTTCTTGTCATATCTTAACCAGAGACCTGGGGCAGGTCTCTCCAGAGGCAAAAGGTCCAAAATGGGGGTAATGGTTTCCATGCTGCTATGCACATCAAAGAAATAAACATGGGAAAGGGAACAAAACACGAGAACCCTGCATGCTTAGCTCTACATCTATAAATAAGACTCTAAAAATTACTCTATATAAACTACCAATCCGGATATGTCCAGGTCAAAGGACACAAAAGTCAACGCGGTTCAACTTACCTGAACAAAGAAAATAAAGTGCTTAAAGGAGGTGTTGAGGTGGGCCTCCTCCTGCAGCTGCATCACAGAATCAAAGTGCTGGTGATAAATATGGGCATAAACCCTGAACAGACGCTTTAGAATGGTCTTTGCCACAGACATAAAGTTTTTAGGAAATGGGACACCTGTAATATAGGTATGTATCAATCAGTCTTTTATCAATTCAAGAAAAATAGCAGAAAAGTTTAGATGCTGCCATGAGCAACTCCAATACACAAATTCACAAATACAAGCCTATTTCCATTTTTTTTTAAAAGGCAAGGGAAAAAACGCCCTCCAAACCTAAGTATATGACCACACTTTTCCTGACTGCCTTAGAATAGTAGACACAGGTATCAAGTTATGCAAGATGATGAGGAATCAAAAACAATTTTAGTTGTTTAATACAGGAGAGTTTCTTCCTAAATTAAATGCAACAAGTTTTTTTTTTTTTTGGCTGCACGTCGTGGCATGTTGGGATCTTAGTTCCCCAACCAGGGATTGAACCGATGCCCCCTGCATTGGAAGCATGGAGTCTTAACCACTGGACCACAAGGGAAGTCCTGGAGAATAAGTATTTTTGACTATAAATAGAAATTTTTTACTTTTTGCAATTTTTAACTCTAAAAAATTTTTTTTACACAAACACATACACACTCAACCAGGACTGGAAACTCTCCCGAGCAAAAAAAAAAGAAAGGCACACTTTGAGTCATTATTATCTACTGTCTGCAAATAAAAAGTATTTCCTTGGGGCTTCCCTGGTGGCAGAGCGGCTGGGCCCGTGAGCCATGGCCGCTGAGCCTGCGCGTCCGGAGCCTGTGCTCCGCAACGGGAGAGGCCACGACAGTGAGAGGCCCGCGTACCGCAAAAAAAAAGTATTTCCTCTTCTGAAGTACTCTGAAAAGCCAGTTTTCCTTCTTAAACTAGGAGTCCCCAACTTTTTATTTAATTTTTTAAAGTGCTATTTTCATTTTCCTATAGTCTAAGAAGGGGAATAATACTTTCTGTAAAGGGGAGGAATGGCACCTCCCTATTTTTCAAAGAATATAAATAAACACCTCCTTAGAAAAGAACTGGGAGAGGACTTAGTCATCTCTCTCCAAGCACTGAAGGTGGGGATGTGACTGGTTGCATTCCTGAGAATTTTGGTTGACAAGACCAATGTTTCTTAGAAAACAGGGACAGGAGAAAGACAATACAACTGGCACTGTGTATAGCTAACAAATACATAAGAAGGCATCTGCTTCCAAAATAACCTAGATTAGTTGGCCTTAAAGGTCTGTTCCACTACACTACTCTTGAACATATTCTTTTCTCTAATCTTTCAGAAAACAAAGGCTGTCACCTTCTCCTTCCCTGCATTTTGTATTCTTTATTTCTCAACCAGTCCTTAATAGCTTGAAATTTAGTATAGTTTGCTCTTGTTAGCTGGTGTGTGTGTGTGTGTGTGTGTGTCCCCACCCCCCACCCTTAGTCTTGGTAACAACTTGCCTTTTCACACATTATTCTGGGGCTTATGGACATGTTTTTTCTGGACTTGGTCTTATATTCATGTACTGAAAAGATGGATTTAAGTCAAATCCTTTTTCTCTCAGAATTTGCAAATGGGCCCCATGCTTTTAAAAAGAACATTAAGAATTAAAAAAAAAAAGAATAAAAAAAAACAAAGAAAAAAACATTAATAAGTTGGATATATTTGTTTAAAAATGAATAATAGACAGTTTTGTCTAATAAGAATAAATAATTAGCATAAGTAAGCTCTGGATAATAGCCTAATGAAGGGGGAAAGAATTCCAGAACATTAGGATAAAATACTGAAGAATTGGGAAGCCGAGGAAAGAGAATAATGACAAAAGTATTCTTTACCTCCATAAGAGGGAGACTTTAATAAAGAAATACAAGTGATTTGTTTTAATCTAAGCAGCACTTTCCAAGCTGAATTTAACATTCAGGCACACCCAATACACAATAAAGGATCTATGAAAAAGGAAACAAAAGGTTTTATAGAATGGAAAAGTTGACCAAAAACAAACAGACCAAACACAACAACATGATATAAATTTTTCTCCTGAAAGAGCCTCTGATTAGACTTCAAAAAGGAATCTGCTATGTTCTGAATGTTTGTGTCTCCCTCAAAATCATGTTGAAATTCTAACCCCCTAGATGATGGTACTAAGAGGTGGGGCCTTTGGGGGTGATTAGGTCATAGGGCATCTGCCCTCGTGAATAGGATTAGTGCCCTTATAAGAAAAAACTCGACAAAGATGATTTCCCTCTCTGCCATGTGCGGATACAACAAAAACACTGCTTTTTGCTATCTGTAAACCAGGAAGAGGACCTATGACAGAACCTGACCATGCTGGCTCCTGATCTTGGACTTGCAGACTTCAGAATTGTGAGGAATACATCTCTATTGCTTATAAGCCCTCCAGTCTCTGGTATTTTTTGTTATAGCAGCCCAAACAGACAAGACATAATCCAACAATATGTTGTTCATAAGATACCCTTATACTGAAAGTGACAAGGACCAATCACATCCATGAATACCAATGCCAAAATCTTAATCAAAATAGCAGAAATAAAAAAAAATACTCTTGCAGCAGAACATTAAAAAAAAATGGAGAAAACCTTATGATCAACAACAGATACTAGAAGAGTATCTGATAAAACCCTATAACCAACTTGATTTTTAAAAATTCACATACCTCTAACCAAAAGCAAGATTCCTACTTAATGCTGAAATACTAGAAGCACTCACATAAAAGTAAACAAGAAAAGGATGTTTGCCATCATCACCATCAATCAGTACTGCTCTGGAAGTACTAGTTATTGCAATTAGGTAAGAGTTACACAAGTAGTATATTTATCAGAAAAGAAGAGGTGAAATTAATATTATCTTAGTATGATGTAACTATATACTTTAAAAACTCAAGAAAACCAATCCAAAAGAAACAATCAGAATAGTTTTCCTATATACTAAACAATAACCAGTTAGAAACCAGATTATCAATAAAAACATTAAGTGCCTAGGAATAAACTTAAGAAACCTGAAGGACTAGCATAAAGTAAAATACAGAATCTTACACGAGGAAATAAGAAATAATTAAAAGACATGAATAAATGAATATGAATTGTTCTTGGATAGGAAGACTCAGTATTGTCAAGAGAACGAGAATCCCTACATCAATCTACAAATTGAATGAAATCATAATAAAAATCTCAGTTTTTTCTTTTTTTACCTTGCAAAATGTTTCTAAATTCTTTGGAAGAACAAATTTTCCAGAATAGCTGTAAGTATTCTGAAAAAGAAGAGCAAGGAAGAGAGACTAGCCCTACAAGATGTTCAAAGATACATAGCCATAGTAATTAAAAGTGTGGAATTTCTAAAACAATAGATAGAGATTAAAAGACTCCAAGATATATGTCAATTTGGTGTATACATATGATAATGAGGGGATAAAAGACACATGTATTCGATAAATGGTACTGGACAAACTAGCATTTATAGCTGGAAAAAAGTAAAGGGAGCATTGAGAAAAAATTCCTGACAGAACAAAGATTAAAATAAAATGTAAAAACAAAACCACAAAAGTACTAAATAAAAGCATGGACAAATATTTTATAATCTGTAAGTAGGAAAATCCCTTCTAATCATTGTATTAAAATCCAGACATCATAAAGGTTAAGATTAATAGGTCAAAATAAGAACATTATACATAGCAAAAAAACCTCATAAACAAGACAATACGGCAACCCAGGGAAAAAATACACACAACATGCATGACAAAGAGCTAATAACCTTAACATAAAGAAATAGAAAAAGGATATAAACAGAAAACACACAAGGATCAATAAACCAAAAAATGTTCAATGTTATTGATATTTTTTAGAATGTACATTATACTAGAAATTTATTTACCCATATTAGAAAAGATGAAAAACTGAGTAACAACTAGTACTGATGAAGAAACACAGGCAGACACAAACATGGCTGGAAGGAGTATACATTCACAAACTTTTTGGAGAGGAATCTGGCAGTCTTTATTACATTTTTTTATAGTAATAGAGCATTAAAAAGACAATAACACATTTATCTTAAAAAGAAAATTAGTTCTACAACATTAACTCACCAATTTTAGAAGGAAAAAGAGTTTCATCATCAAGTTGATCCTGAACCCAAGTCATCAAATAGTCAATGTATTTTGGTGCAGAACATTTGATTGGCTTTTTAATATTAGTACCATCTGCCCAATGATATTCATATCTGGAGAGAAAAAAGTTTTAGTGATAAAGTTTTCAAAAACATGTTGCAACTTGTAATCAAAGTAGGTTCACAGTTTGTCAACAGAAGTTATATATATAGTACTATAGTATAGTATAGTATATATATTTAGTAAATTACCTAAAGTTCTACTGAAGATTACTTGAGAGTTCCCTGTAGAAGTACAGTTGACCCTTGAACAATGTGGGTTTGAACCACACAAGGTCCACTTACAAACAGATATTTTTCAATAGTAAATACTACAAGATCCACGGTTGGTTGAATCTGTAGATGCAGAGGAACCATGGATACGGAGGGCCAACCATAAGTTACACTGTATTCTGAAATGTGATGGTAATAAATGGAAAAGAAAAGGAAGCCAGTGTGGCAGCTGGCTGTGCCAGAATCTGTTTTACAACACAGCCCTGAGAAAGACAAAGGAACTGCATTCCTGTCTGTTAGACAGAGGGTGCTGAGGACTGGGTAAGGTGCTGATGGATCCACCACATTCTGAGCTTGTTGGCCATTAAGTAATCATCAACAGAGCCAAGATTATAAAACCCTGTTTCTTGGAGAGCGTTTTAAAGAAACAATCTTAGCCATGCGTCTTTTTCTACCTCACCTTTGCTGAGCTAGAATGATTAATAAGACTTAATCAAAACTTCACTGTGTGAAGCATTTAAGCCAAAGATAGTTTGAGGAATAAAACTTAACACTTCACAAAATAAAAAACATCTCTCCTAAAATAACATAATAAAAATAGGACTCAAACTTATTGGGGCCCTTTTTTTCCTTTACATCTATAGCAAATTCAGAAAGGACTATTTTTTCCCAAGAGGTAAATATCTTGCTACCATCTGTCATCACATAAAATCAATCATTTGTTATAGGAAAAAAGGCCAGAAGGACACACGAAAATGTTAATTCCATCACATCTTAACTTTATGGGTGATAAAGAGTTCCATCTCTTTCTCAACATTTCTAGAAATTTATGATAGTCAAAAAAATTTTAACCTAGCATCTTTAAGCCAGATAACTAAAGCAGAACAATTTGGAGGTAACTAACAGTAAAAAGCACAACAACCAAAAAATCAAATATTAAAAGGTCAACTAAAAACTCTTCCAAGAAATTAATTTAAAAACCAGAAACAGAACCATAAATATTAATAAAATTGAAAAAAATAACTTTTGTAAAAGCAAGATAAGCCTAACTCAAATTTCTTTACTTTCAATCCTACTACTGAATATTCATACTTAATATAATGCAATTATAAAAAATCAAAATACTGGGTACCACATACCGAAGTATTTAATAACTAAAAGCTTATAGGTAAACTTTTTGTTTTCACAAGCAAATGGGTAAGAAAAACAAGTCTTTATTATTTAATTTATATCAATTGGTGATTAGCTTTATTTGGTAATAATTCAAATACCTATATAATAGCCAGTATATGTACCTTGGACCTGCAGACATGACTGGACAGCTTGCTTCAGTGCAGAATTCTGTGATAGTTCCATATAACATGTTGATCTGGTTGAAGAAATCCACAGCTGGAAAGATAATAGCAGAACTGTGTTAAAATGTCTGTGTAAACACAACAAAACATCAGACCTCTCAGTTGGAGGATTCAGCCAAGAATCCTCAGGAGATTCAACAATCCAGGGGCACTATAAATTCTCTTTCTAAGTTGTTACACCTAAGTAAAGTTAACTTTTAATATACATTAACTTTTAATATACTAAGCTTTTAAACAGCCTGTAAGCAGGAAAATAAAATATTACGGATAATTCTAACGTAATGGTGATTATTACATTAGAATATATAATTTGATCATATATAAGCAAATGAAAAAATCCATAGCTTCTTACCAATCTGGACCAGACAATATCATTTGTGTTGGGAAAGAGAAAAAAATCGTTGTGGAATATATGGGAGGGAGGTGTATCAGCTGTGTCAGGCATTTAAAAATCTAGTTCATCATAAAAAATTGAGACCTAGTGCATATTGAGGACATAAAAAAGACAGGAGATAATGCCCCTTCCCCTAGAGTCTCCAGCTAACAAAAGGGACAAAATTAAAAGAGAGGAGTAATACAACATATAAGAAGATAGCATACAAAGGCCAACAATAAGTGCTAGAAGAGTTCAGAGAAAAGGCAACATCTCGAGGAGCTGAGATAGTCAAGGAGTACTTCCTAAAGGAGCTTCAGCTAGATCTGGAAGAAAACAGAAGAGGAAGGGGGTAAGAAATGAACTTAACTGAGTGAACATATTACTATGTGCAAAGGGAACCACATAAGCCTTGGCAAGCTTTTTAAAAAATGTCTTAGCTCCCCATCTAAAAGACTACCTAAAAAATCAACTAGGGGGGCTTCCCTGGTGGCACAGTGGTTGAGAGTCCGCCTGCCAATGCAGGGGACACAGGTTCGTGCCCCGGTCCGGGAAGATCCCATGTGCCGCGGAGCGGCTGGGCCCGTGAGCCATGGCCGCTGAGCCTGCGCGTCCGGAGCCTGTGCTCCGCAACGGGAGAGACTGCAGCAGTGAGAGGCCCGTGTACCGCAAAAAACAAACAAACAAACAAACAAACAAAAAAATCAACTAGGGCTTTTCCAAGTTTCTTAGAAAACAAATCAATATTCCACCATGTCAAAAGGAATTTTATTCAGAACTCCCTCACTTATAAACCTTCCTCTTAAATTAGTCATGTTTCTAAGAAAGTAATACTTAGGCATTCAATATTCATTCAAAACAAAGAGTGTGCCCAGATGGTGTGCTGGTTTATTGATCTGTTCTCAAAATATGGTCCAGAGATCCCCTGTTTCAGAGGGGAATCTGTGAGGTCAGAAACATTTTAATTGCTCTGAATTTTCACTCTCTCTCAGGAGGCACAGTGGAGTTGTCCAGAGGCTCCATAATGTATGACATCACAACAGACTGAATACAGAAGCAGATATGAGAATCCAGCTAACCTCCTATTAAGTCAGACATTAAATAAGATTTGCAAACCTGTAAAACAATGCCACACTTCTCACTAAAATTTATTTTGGAAAATAGTCATTTTTCATAAAAATATATTTATGTTAACATGTATTTTAAAATAAGTATTTAAACTTACTCAGTTTTAATTTCTAACACAGTATCACTAAAAATAACCCACATAATTAAAAGCCCTTTAAGGTTCTCAATAATTTTTAAGAGAATAAAGGGATCCTGGAACCAAAAGGTTTGAGAACAGTTGATTAGAGCATTAAGTCTCAAAGAAAAACTGAAAGCTGAAGAAGGTCAACAGATGCCTTCAGAATAAAAGATGATATACAGATGGCCAACAGACACATGAAAAGATGCTCAACATTGCTAATTATTAGAGAAATGCATATCAAAACTACAGTGAGGTACCACCTCACACCAGTCAGAATGGCCATCATTAAAAAGTCGACAAATAACAAATGCTGGAGAGGATGTGGAGAAAAGGGAACACTCCTACACCGTTGGTGGGAATGTATCAATAAATTGGTGCAGCCACTGTGGAAAACAGTATGGAGGTTCCTCAGAAAACTAAAAATAGAGTTACCACATGATACAGCAATCCCACTCCTGGGCATATATCTGGACAAAATTATAATTCAAAAACATACATGCACCCCTATGTTCATAGCAGCACTATTCACAATAGCCAAGACATCAAAACAACTTAAATGTCCATCAACAGATGAATGGATAAAGATGTGGTACATATATACAATGGAATATTACTCAGCCATAAAAAAAAGAACGAAATATGGGACTTCCCTGGCGGTCCAGTGGTTGAGACTCTGCACTCTCAATGCAGGGGGCATGGGTTCAATCCCTGGTCAGGGAACTGAGATCCCACATGCCTCACAGTGCAGCCAAAAAAAGAGAGAACAAAATAATGCCATTTGCAGCAATGTGTATGGACTTAGAGATTATAATACTAAGTGAAGTAAGTCAGAAAGAGAAAGATGAATACCATATGACATCACTTATATGTGGAATCTAAAATATGACACAGGGGCTTCCCTGGTGGTGCAATGGTTAAGAATCCACCTGCCCAGTGCAGCGGACATGGGTTCGATCCCTGGTCCAGGAAGATCCCATGTGCCACGGCGCAACTAAGCCCGTGTGCCACAGCTACTGAGCCTGCGCTCTAGAGCCCGCAAGCCACAACTACTGAGCCCACATGCCACAACTAATGAAGCCTGTGCGCCTAGAGCCCCTGCTCCGCAACAAGAGAAGCCACCAGGATGAGAAGCCCTCAGACCGCATGTAGAGCAGCCCCTGCTCACTGCAACTAGAGAAAGCCCGCACACAGCAGCCGAATACCCAATTGCAGCCAAAAATAAATAATTAAAATCAATAAATTGAAAAAATAATAAAAATTTTAAAATAAAATAAAATATGACACAAATGAACCTATTTATGAATCAGAAACAGAATCATGGACATAGAGGACAGCCTGGTGGTTGCCAAGGGGGAAGGGGTTGGGGGAGGGATGGAGTGGGAGGCTGGGGTTAGCAGATGTAAGCTTTTATATATAGAATGCATAAACAACAAGGTCCTACTGTATAGCACAGAGAACTATATTCAATATTCTATGGTAAACCATAATGAAAAATAACATTAAAAAAAGATGTATGTATGTGTATAACTGCATCACTTTGCTGTATAGCAGGAATTAACACAACACTGTAAATCAACTGTACTTCAATTTAAGAAAAATCAAAAAAAATGAAAGACAATAATTTGAATAAGGTTACAAAAAAGGGGTCTTTTCTGAATAGATATGTCACATGGTTCACATGCCAAAAGACAGATAAAAACATACAGTGAAAAATCTAAGTTCCAACCACTCCAACTTCCCCCCTACACACAGGTAACTACTATACTAATTTTTTCTGTGTCGTGCCCCCTAAGTTTCTTTATCCCATCTGACACAAAAGATAACACATTACATAGTTCTACACCTGATTTTTTTTCTCTTAGTAATATGAATAATGGCTTTTTAATGAGTTGAGAAAAATAAAATTTTTCTCAATGTGGCTACTAGAAAATTTTAAATTCCATTTGTAGCTCACAATATATTTATTTCTACTGGACCACACTGACCAAGGCAATGATTATCAACAGTTGAATACCACATAAAAAGACAAGTAGACACTATGGAAATATCTACACTGTTGGAATTATATACCACCAGCTACGAAGTAGTGTTAAACAAAATCAAACCTGAATCTGATCAAAGCGCCACATCTGTTCTAACATGGTAGCCACTAGACACACAGGGCAATTTACGTTAAAATGAAGTTAAATTTAAAATTCATTTCCAGTCACAGTAGCCACATTTCAAGTGCTAAATGGCCACAGTGAAGATATACAACATTTGCCTAATCGCAGTAAGTTCTCTTGGACAGTGCTGCTCTAGATTTAACATTTACAGGAAATAAAAGAACAAGATAATGGATGCCTTGGGGATGTTATCAGCAAAATTCATTCTGTAGAAAACAAACTGGTTTCTTCAACAACAACAAAAAGAGCAAGGAAAAATAACTGCAATGAAGGGCAACCTGTGAATTAAGAGATTCAAGAAACATATGTACAGGGCTTCCCTGGTGGTGCAGTGGTTGAGAGTCCGCCTGCTGATGCAGGGGACACGGGTTCGTGCCCCGGTCCGGGAAGATCCCACATGCTGCGAAGCGGCTGGGCCCGTGAGCCATGGCCGCTGAGCCTGTGTGTCTGGAGCCTGTGCTCCGCAACGGGAGAGGCCACAACAGTGAGAGGCCCGCATACAGCAAAAAAAAAATTGTAAAGATTCCTGGAACAACTAAAATTCCTAATAGACTTAAACCCTATCATCCAGAACTGATCTCATCTCAGAAATGATAGACACTAATATTCAAACCTCTAGCCTCAGCATATCCTTCCATGTCATGCCCTTACTTCTTGAATTCAGAGTGACTTTCAGCTCATGGGTCCCTCTGTTTTCTCCCAATCTCTCAATTTTCTTCTGACTACTCCTAACTCACAATAATCAAGTGACTGACCATAGCAACTGCACTTGACTTTTCTGTATACACAGGCAGATGAAAGCTGCTGGGAGTGGGGGCACAACTATGAAGATGGATTCCTACAAAGTCATTTCCACCACAGGTAGAATCTTTGTATTTATCAATCTTTCATTTGACCTTACTCAGCAATTCAGACCATTCTCCTCAGAGATAACCCCAAAGTACTTTTCATTTCTTCTCAGGTCTCTCTATTTAACCACACAAGCTACAATCAGGTACACTCTGAAGAGAACACACTTTGGATGTATTTGTACTTACATGTTTCTTTACAGATAATCTGTTTTACTAAGACAGCTACATCCATAAGAAAATTCATTAACAAAAAGATTTTAGCAAAATCTTCTTATAAACCAGTAAAGTTGAAAGTTATTAAGAACTTACTGTTAACCGCAATCCATTCATTGAGGTCCTCTCCCTCTGGCAACATAACAGCTTGTCTCAGATTCCCACTTCCTAGAGTTGCTTCTGCATGTTTTAAGAGTTCATACTGATGAGATCCTTCAGGGATATTCTTCTTTGGTTTGAATGTTTTAGAAGAGCGGCTACTACTGTTAGGTTAAAAGTAAAAGTACATCAATTTTTAGGACCAGCAGAATGACAATTTTAGGCATATAAATTGTTTTGAAATTAAAAAATATTCCCTGAAAAGTGCCAAGATGGGGGGTAGGGGAGGAGAGAATAAACACAATAAAAGAAAGAGTTAAATTTTTTCCCCTACATAGAAACAGGATTAGCAGCACAATTTCACACAGAAGGCAATTTTACTATGCCTCATGAAGCAGTCTGGTGTAAAAGAAAAGGCACCTTAACCAAAAAAAGAAAAAACCTGGATTCTAGTTCTTGATCTGCCACTAACTCTGTGACTGCCTGAGAAACCTAACCTCCTTTGGCCTCAATTTTCACCTAATAGTGCTGTGAGGGTGTTAGCTTTAAGGTTCATATAGCTCAAAAATCCAGTTTTCTGTATCAAAATATTTGTGATGCCATCAAAGCAAACCAGAGAAGTAGAACTAACATTTTAGAGTTTATAGCAGGGAAAATAAATGAGACAACTGGTTTTGGCGGGGGGGGGAATAAGTTTTTATTCCTATCTCACACCATTCATAAGGAAGGTCTTCCTAACATGACACAAAGCCCAGAAAAAATGGACAGCTTTCTAACGGTAACAATTAAAACTTCAATAATTCAGAACAAGGAGACAAGTAGCCAACAAAAGTACTTGCAACATATATTAAAAATATTAACTAAATTATAAAGGACTTTTATAATCTGTTAAGAAAAAGGCAAAGAATGCTTTAGAAAAATGGGCTAAGGAGATGAATACACAATTTAGAAAGAAAAACAGAATGACAAATGAACATATGAAAAGCTGTTCAATTAAAATTAGATTTATTTTTCCTTAACCTGAGTGTCAGAAATCAGAACAATTACATTAAGTGTGGGATAGGGTAGAGTGAAATTAGTACTTTAATTCTCTAATGGTCAAAGTGCATTAACATTTTAAGAGGGCAACACGGCAATATCTATTAACACTGAAATGCTTCTCAATCCATCCCTTCTACTTCTAGGTGTCTCTCCTCGATATGGATAAGGATGTGTTTCCCAAGATTGTTTTTAATAGCGAAAAACCTGGAAATGATCCTAAAGCTTACTGGTAGAGGAATGAATAACTATGATACATCTATATCATGGAATACTATACAGTAGTTAAGAATAACAAGATAGAGGTACTTGTATTCACACCGATAGATCTCAATACATGCTTAAACATATTACAGAATGAAATGTACAGCAGAAGCCCATTTTGTAAATGCATTGAAAGTGTCACCCATCAAACTGATCGTGGTGATTACTTCTAGAAAGGGGAAGGTAATAAAACTGAGGATTTTCACTTTACCTGGGTAATTTGAATTTTAAATAAGACTGATTATGAAGTAAAAAGGAGTTATGAAAACAATAAAAATCAAATATGGAAAGTCTGTGTTTAACATGATAAAGAGCTAAATTTAATAAGGAAGTACTAAATTAGAGGGAATGGCCCTTTCAATAGAAACAAGCTGTGAATGACAGGTAGCTAAATATTTTCCGTACTTAGCAAGAAATGATGTCTCAAGGTTCAGTATGATCTTCAACTAAATTAAGACTTTTGTGCTTCAAATGGCACCATCAAGACAGTGAAAAGAATCCACAAAGTAGGAGAAAATATTGCAAATCACAGATGTGATAAGGGACTTGTATCCAGGATAAAGAATTTTTACAACTTAAAACCAAAAAGACAACCCCATTTAAAAAATGGTCAAAAGATCTGAATAGACATTTCTCCAAAGATACACAAATGGCCAATAAGCACACGAAAAGATGCTCAACATCATTAGTCATTAAGTAAATGCCAATTAAAATCACAGTGAGATACCATTTCACGTCCACTTAGAATGGCTATAGTCAAAAATGCAATTAACAAGTGCTAGGGAGGGTGTGGGGAAATTGAAACTCATACAGTGCTGATGGGAAGGCAAAATGGTGCAGTGCTTTGAAAAAGTCTGGCAGTTCCTCAAAAGGTTAAACATAAGTTACCATATAACCAGGCAATTCCTAAGAGAAAGGAACACACACATACATCCAAGTTTATAGCAGTATTATTCATAATAACCAAAAGTGGAAACTCAAATGTCCATCAACAAAACAAAGTTTAAAAGAAATAAAGAGCCTCACATTTAGGTCCAAAAAGCAAATAAGAACTGTGCATCCACAAAACAGAAAAAAAAGACTGGGGGGTGGGGGGAGGGTGGTGGTGATTTCTAGTAATATGGAAATTTGCAATTAAAATATAAATCATAAAGATTTTTTGATATGGTAATCATACTCTGAAGACTATACGCTTAAAAAAATAATCCAAAGGAGGGGAAAAGCGATTTAGACAAAGATAGTCTCAGTAGTCCTATTTTATAATAGCAAAATACTAGAAAGAATTCAAACTTCTCACAATAAGAAACGGGGTAAACTCCGGTTATGAAACACTATTTTAGATGTCAAGTATGTGGGTGATGCCCATAACTGAAAATGGATTATTTATTCGCTCATACAATACATATTTAAGCAACATGCTAAGTAAAGAGAGCTACCTGAGAAAAATAAGGTGCTAGAGCAATGCTTCTCAAACCTTAATGCGATTAAGAATCATCAGAGAATTTACAAACTTTCCCATTGAAGACTCCTTTGGGCCCAGACGTTATCTCTAAAATAGGATTCTACTGAGTTAAAAAGAAGTTAGTTAATTATACAAATTCACAAAGTGGGCTTAATCATAATTGGATGCGAGGCCCGCAGCTTAACTTCAGCGGCACTCCCACATTTTCCTGGGGCGGCATTTTTCCGCGGGGGTAATTTAATACTGACGATAATAAAGCTGGACGTACGGTGGAGTAAAAAGCTAAGTCAGCATGCATCGTTACTAAAAGGCTCGAGACTCAAGACAAATTGAGACCCCCAGATCGTCCCTCTGCCCTCAGGTGCCCTCGGGCGGAAAAGTCTGGAGGCACTACCGGCCTCAGGGCCTTTCTACTCCCCAATCTTCTCGCTCCGCTTCCTTTGCCTCGACCTTCATCTCTCTCTGCTTCTGCGCACATCCAAGCCTCCCCCGTGACCCCGAGCGTGGGCAAAGCAAGCGCCGGGCACCCGACCCCGGCCCCGGGGGCCCGCCGTCGCCTCAGGCGTCCGTCCGCCCGCCCCTCCCGGGCCTCGGCCCTCAGTCCTGGAGCCCTCGACCGGGCCACACTCACAAGAGGAAGCTCATCTTCTATCCTTGGAGGGGAGGGGAGGGGCCGCTGGCCCCTGCCGCGGACAGGATTCGGAGCCCGCGCGGGACCAAGGGGGAGCGGAAGGTCCTCAGCCAGCGGACAGCGGAAGCCCGCGCCGCCGCCGCTGCTCCGGGCCGGGATCGAGCTGGGGCAAGCAGGTGAGAGCAACTGCACCCGCCTCTCCCCCCTGCCCCACCTTACAGACCCAAAATGCGGAACCAGCAAAATCTCGCGAGCTAAGGCTTCGTTCTGCTCCTCCCCGCTGAGAGGGTCTCGAGACCCTTTTCGCACCGCCCGCTCCTCCGCCTCAGCCAATCAGCAGCCTCTAGGCCGGGACTTCCGCTGCCGGAGGCGTGGTGGAATTGCGGACTTCGGACTGGAAGAG